TTATTATTTAAAAATGTAGGAAAAAACTAAATTTATAATTATAATTTATTCTCCCACAAAAGTTATCCCAGGTTGGACCTTCATTTTAAATAATTTACTTTTAAAATCTATAAATAAAATATGGAATGAGCGGTAGATCTTTTTTGTCTCATTTTAAGCGTGCCAAATATGGTAGGTGTTGGCCACTTGCTTTTTAATTTTTTAGATTTTATAATTTTTCTCGTATATTAATTCTATTAAAAAAATAAATGCTGAAACTTACTTTAAATAGGAGTTATCTAAAAATCTTTTTAATAAACAAAGAGATAAAACTTAATGCAACCTTCTCTTGGGTTTTTGAGCATTCTTCCTAAGAATATATTTGGTGTTTTTTTTTTTTCAAATTATATAATATTTATATTTGATTATTTTTATTAATTATTTTTTTATTATATCTAAAAATAAATAAAAAAATTAGATATTTAATAAAATACTAATTATTTTTAAATGCATACCCCATATGTTTTGATTTACTTGGTCTCTTAAATCTTAAGGAGATATATAAATTGTTTAATAAAAATATTTAAAAATAACACATAGGATACGACAAATAGAAAATAATTAATAAATATGAAAAAAGACATACAAGTTTATGACACCAATCCTTACACTCTTTTCATTTAGATTATTTGGTCAAGAATTCCCACGTCCGTATCCTGCATTTTCAAAATGGAGGATAATATTGAGCAGCAAATTTTTTATTAAAATTTATTTTAATTTCATAAATATAATTTTAAAAACTAAAAATTATAAATTTGATGGAAATAAATTTTAAATTTTAAAAGTATATATTTTTATTAAAATTTAAAATTGTATTTAAATTATCGAAAATAAATTTTAATTTTAATTTTTATATATAAAAAAAAATTGTTTTACTCCTCTAGTTGTATTTAAAATTATTAAAAATAGATTTTCGTTTTTTACTTTTATTAAAAATATTTTTATTTTACCTAAAATTACTTCTTAAAGGCAAAAATAAAAAGCAAGAACTGCTGAGATGCTGCATTACTCATTTTCTATATATCTCTCCTTCATCACTTTCAAATTACAATTACAACAGATATCTAGTGCGACTGAAATTGCAGAGAAAGATGGAGGGAGTTGCTAAAGTGGCATCTCTCTTCGTATATCCAATAAAATCATGCCGTGGAATTTCTGTATCGCAGGCACTCCTCACTCCTAGTGGTAAACCAACTTTCCACGCTACCTCGCTGCTTTCATCTCCCTCTGTTTCCTCTTCTCATTTCTTTGACCCACTTGATTTTGCTTCTCAGTGTCTGTACAATCGTTGATTTTTTTTTTTTTTAATGAATCGTTGGATATTTTGTTAATTTTACGTGATTCCGGTCCAATGGGTATGATTATATATGTCTTGAATTATCTATCTCGGATTATTTGTGTTTGGGCATGCAGGATTTCGATGGGATCGAAACTGGTTAATTGTGAATTACAAGGGAAGGGCATATACTCAAAGAGTTGAGCCAAAGCTTGCTCTGATTGAGGTTGAGCTGCCAAAGGATGCATTTTTGGAGGACTGGGAGCCTACAGACAACTCCTATATGGGTAAACTCATTTCCTAAGTTCTCTTCCTTGAGGTGTTACTGCTCCATTTAGCGCTTTACTTTCCCCAATTCTAGTCCCTCACTTCATTTCCTGAATCATGTAACTGATTTTCATTTTCCATCATAAACTGCTTATTCAATTTTCATATTTTTGGAACATTAGTCTTGCAATCTACAAACATCTTTTATCGAATTGAGCATATGAACAAGTGTAATCTGCTTGTGTAAGAGAAAAACAATAAGATATGTAAGCACTTTATAGTTCATTGAAGTTTTGAATACTGTGTCAAATTTCATGGGGCCTTATTTTGGATTTTCTGATCGTAGCTTCTATGTTTTATGGTGTTGCTGTGATGCCTTTCCTTTATTAACTTGGTTATTTGTTTGCTTTCCAAAGATGTTATCACTAGTACATTTGAAGATACCTTTCATGAGTTTTGCATCTCTAATATATCTTGAACATGAAAAACTCATTCAGTGGATGTCTTTTCTGACCTTATATAAACCATATTCTTTTCTATTTTTCAGTTAAGTTGTAAATTTCCAGTTTTGATCCATTAATTGCTTTCTTTGCAGTAATAAAAGCTCCAGGGATGGAAGGACTCAAGGTTTCACTGAGTAAACCGCAGGAAATAGCAGATGGTGTGTCAGTATGGGAGTGGTCCGGCTCTGCATTGGACGAGGGAGAAGAAGCATCAAAATGGTTTACAAATTATCTTGGGAAACCCAGTCGGCTGGTTCGTTTTAATGCAGGTTGTGTTTTATGTTTCTGCAATTTATTAGATTAGCACATTCTAAATTAACTAGGGGCACAACAAAAGCAGAGAGTAAGCTAGGGCATTTCCAGCGGTGTGGAGCCCGTCAACATGACGAACTTGTGTTTTTTATGTTTATAAGTAAAAACTGAGATGATGATTGCATTCTTCTCATAATCGCTGCAGCATCAGAAACAAGGCCGGTGGATCCAGAATATGCACCTGGTCACACTACAATGTTTTCAGATTTGTTTCCATTTATGCTGATATCTCAGGTCAGCCAACTTGAACATGGAATTTATTTATCTTAATTTTAAAATGAACTTTAAAATCTTAATCTTCATGATAATCTTTTTGTTGCAGGGATCACTGGATGCACTAAATAAGCTTCTAAGGGAACCTGTGCCCATCAGCCGTTTCAGACCCAAGTACTTGTCCAGCCTCTCACATATCTACTCATTTGAAGTATCCGAAAGCTTTTTCTCTTGCATATTCTCTGCAATCTGTATTATTACACTCAGGAATCTCCTTAGAGAACCCTGTTAATGATTTAGATCAGATTATTTATTTCAAAAAATAATATATATATATATATATTTATAGAACCAGCATTCTCAGCTCAATTTTATAATTCATGTTGTACCATGGTTATCTTCCTGGCTTGTGCATAGCTGATGTTGGTCATTTGAATGTCATAGCATCTTTGTTGATGGTTGTGAACCCTATGCTGAAGATTTATGGACAGAGATCAGGATAAACAAGTTTACCTTTCAAGGTGTGAAGTTATGCTCCCGTTGCAAGGTAATAAGTTGATTCTTTTCTGGTGCATTTGTGCAAATTAACTTGTTTTTTTTCTTTATGCTCCTGTAGCTAGTATTAGCAGTCCTTGTGACAGAATGCCAAGAGGGTGGTTCGTTTTCCAATAAAAATTCCTAAGAGTTGACTTGGTTAAATTATTTAACAGAGATGATATGTAAAACAGTTAATAGAGGAAAATGGATGAAAATAACTATGCTGTTGAGATTGACAATGAAGGTTGAATATTCTCAAAGAAATATAATCAATTGAGTGATATGTGGGTAGCCAGTGAATACCCTCCAGAAGGTTCTGATTTCAAATGATGATGACCATATCTTAATCTAGGAAAAGTTTCAATCTACACATAAAAACTACTGTCAGATCAGTGAGTGTCCTTCCTTTCATTTGTATTGTTTTTGCAGTACTGTAGACTTACAAATAGAGTGACCATAGAGCTGCAATAAGATAAATTCCTTACTTACCATGTTAAAAAGTTCTCCAACGTGATTGGAGTTCTTAACTTCAGTTGGAGTCTGTTAGAGCTGTACATTTTATTGCCTGACATGCTCTACAATGATACAATATTTGGTTCAGATACCGACAATTAATCAAGAGACAGGAGTTGCAGGCTCTGAACCCAATGCAACGCTGATGAAATTTAGGTCGGACAAGGTTTTAAGGCCAAACAGAAAACAGCAGGGAAAAGTGAGACGTAAACAGACTTTAGATTGATTTTCAGATGCTGATGCAAATGATACAAAAATGAATAATTATGTTAATTCTGTGGCAGATTTATTTCGGGCAGAACATGGTTTGGAAGAACACTCATACTGAAGGAAAAGGAAAGATCATCAAAGTTGGCGATCCTATTTTCGTCCTTAGAAAGGTCTCTTCTGCTGCTGAAGCGGCTGCTTGAACTTTGCAGAATGCCTCTCAATTAATTTCTGCTATCATATTAGTAGTCTGTTGTAGACTGTAACTTGTAGTAAAATAACTAGTAGTTGGCTTGCCAATCAAGGTATCATCTCTATTACTCAACATTACAAAATCAATAGGATTTGCTTTGGTTGTTATGCCATATGTTACCTTATGCTTGCAAGTTCCTATAAATAAGTTGAATGTAAAAGGACTTGATTAAATGGTGATGAAAGGATTCTTCTTCTTCTAGTTTGGCTCTTTTAATTATTCTGACTGGATTAAGGTTTGAATTGAATCATATTTGTTGAATAATCTTTATGAAAGTGAATACCCATATTGATTTTCTTTTCCATCTCTTATGCATTTTATTTAAGCTGAAAAACATTGATATGGCAATAAACATATCTTATATGAATTTTGAACGCTTTTCTCTTTAAGTGATTTATGCACCCTAATCATTGGAGTAATTGAAGATTATACTTAATTGATATTACAGTTTTTTCACTACAATGGCTTCAAATTAGCCAATGTACTTTAAAATTAAAACATAAATGCAAAATGCATCATTAGATTTAAAAATAGATGATAAAGAGCATTTAGGTATTATACAACCATACACCAATCCAACCAACCAATCCAGAGTGCGTTTCAAGACAAGTAGTTGTTGAAGCAGTCTTACCATAACCCAGAGAATTACTATAAACAACAAGTGATATCCACATTAATTATTACTTATATTATCAATAGTGATGCATATAAAACAGCTTCATATGACTTATCAAAGGGCAAGTCAATAGTGTACAACTCCTTCATTTCCATGAAACAAGGCTGTTGACATGAGGCATGTACAAATTTGATTGCAGGAGACCAGCCGCTTCCATCTCAATCTTTCTCAACTCTTGGAGTTCGAAGTTATAGATATAAAGGGAACCATCTTCATCCCTCTTGAAAATTATATCTCCACTAACTCCTAGACTCAAAAGGGGAACCATGTCAAGTATGCAACCTCTTGTGATGCAATGCTGCTTTGTCCAAACCTCCCCACATAAACCTTTCAAGATCCAAACATCTACGTTGAGTTCCTCATGAGTTACAAAACATAGAAAACCACCCATTTCAATAATCCCATCGTATTTTTGACAGCTTTGGGGGAGAGCAATTGTAGTGAACTTGTCATTTTCCATTTCCATGGAAACGAGGTAATCACTGCGATCAATTTCAGGAATCCAATGCAATGCGTCAATTGCTGAAACGGGATTGTTTCCTAACCAACCAAACAGTCCAAAAGTGGGTCCATTCACCTCTCTCCAAACTCTTGTTCCCAGATATAGTGTCTCACAATTAATGTATCCCAACATATCCCTAAACAAGTGTACCACCTTATAATCACCTGTGGCATTAATAAATGCAAAGCCATAAGAATCATTATGGGGAGAAGATATTGTACCAAGAGGTAGAGCAATGATCTTCCTTGTCACAGGATTCATGACCAACAGTCCTCCTTTCTTCAGTTTGTTATCAAGTAAAACTAGACCATTGCATGTACCTCTAATGTTTCCCGAGCAAGTTATATTGTATTCTCCCATCTGACATTTTCCATTCTTGAATTCCATGAAACCCATGTAAAATATTGATTTGGAGCTGACAGTGGGCTCCCCAAAGATAGAACCAGATTTTGTCGGAAGAAAACTGGATTCAACTGAAAAAGTATTTGGAACTGATTTGACAGAAGAGAGTGATCTTCTATGTTGAAAACACAGAAAGATCAAAACGGTTTGAGAGCGATGAAGGTGGGCATCAATGAAAGTGGGACTGTTAATTATGTCGTACCATGACTTACACACAAACCTTGAGTGTGGAAGAGAATTTATAGGCAGCCGAATGAGAATATTCCAAATGCAATCTTTAGAAAGACATGGCACTGCAATATCTTCTTGCTTCTTGTGGTCTTCTTCCACCTTCTTCGATGCTGCTCTCTCTTGTGCTAACCGTAACAGGCTTGTGCTTTTGTTCCTAATTGACACAGCCATCTGACTCTGCAATCAAACACCTCCAAATACACTTACTTGTGTTACAAACACTTGTTTTAGAAGGAATTCCAGAGAGTTTGATTAATTAAGAAACACATACTTATCAATCATAACATAATTTTGAGAACACATACAAGGAATGATGGTTAGTTATTAAAGCTCATAAATTCTGGATTTGTCCAAACACAACCTTGATTAATCATCTATGGAAATCTTCCCAGAAAAAGATAAGCAAATATTCAATGACCCAGGTGAGGCGTCTACAAATCTCTCTTTCATGTATGAATCAACACCAAGTTAAGAAGTAGATATAATACTTGGAACGGTTCAAATAATTTAAAAACAAACACAATGATTCATCAAAAAAACGAAAATAACCAGTTACAACAACTCACCAAAGTGCGGCGCAGAAGAACCCGATCGGCTCTGGCCTCACCGTCTTTGAGAGCGGATAGAGAAATGCAAAGGCGATATTAAATAAAAAAAAAAAATGGTTTGATGATGAAGGAGAGGAGAGAACGATGTGGGAGAAAGTAGACTAAAGTAAAAAACATCACTGTTAACTGTTGGATGTTGGTGATTGTCAATCGTTGGAAGCTTCATTAATAAATATAAATTAATAGAAATAAAATATATTTATTTATTTTCTCCATTTTCAATTGCATTTTTTAAAACAACCTTAGTAGAAAGAAGCTATATTCTTTGTCTTCTAGTCTTAAAACAAAAAGTAGATAAATAAAATTTAAAAATGTTAAAATTAAATATTGCAAATACTTGTAATTGCATAAGAAGAAAAGAAGAGTTTTTGAACTTGATAAACAAAAGATGAACACTGTGTAACATTTGATTTAAACCATTTTCCTTATTTATTTATTTATTTTTTTGAATGATTTATAAACATTTATAAAACCCTATAGTAGTGAATGACTAATATCAAGAAATGGAAGAATAGTTACAAAAATTCAGTAATAGTGAATATATGAAAGTTCTTCACGTTAATAACTATTAGAGGCATTATTACAATAATTTATTTCAAGAAAATATTGTAGTTATTTATTGTATTAATACAAGATCAAGCTATTTAATTTTATCACATTCTTGCATATTCTAAATGACAATTTTTATTGACTATTAAAAATAGATAAGATTATAATTATGGGACTTAAACATAAATTATGGTTCCTAAGTCACATGATTAATGTAACTTGAACATTATTAGTATAGATAGATTAGTGCATAGGATTTAACTTGAATAAATGTCTTGCACAGAGTTATGTGTCAAGAAAGAATTTAAAGGCAATAATAATACAAGAATTTTTCTTTTAATTTAATTACCATTATCATTGACTTATGTGGAATGAATTTATATTTTGATACTAAAAACTTATAGTTATTTCCAATTATCTTGACCAAATTAATTACTAAGTATAACATTAATTTTATGATATTATATCAGTAGTAGTTTAAAAATTCAACACTATTAGTATAAAAGAAATATTATTATATGTTTATATACTATAAACAATTTAAAAAATCAATGGGGATAGCAGTAGAAGATAATAGAGTTTCTCTTAACATAATTGATTTAAATATCATTGATGAATCATGATGAATGACTATTAATATTTAAAGATTACTAATACTTTAAGTGTTTCCATAATACAGTTGATGACATAAATATGTTGTGAAATATGTTGATCGAAATATTTTTTTTTGAGAAATTATTTCATATCTTTTAGGCGTCATGATATATTTTTAAATATCAATCATTGTAATACCTAAACTCAAAAATCGGTTCGGGATAATTTTTTTTATTTATAAAAATTATATAAATAATTAATTTTATTTTATTTAAATTATTGAAAAAAATAAAATATGGACGAAATTAAAAATAGTTTTGGAAAAAAGTGATGAAATTTTGAAAGAAAATTTAAAAACATAAGGTAAAATCGCAAAAAAAAAAAAATTAGCAATGTGGGATAACCTAGTCAGTAACCACGGTGAATTAGAGCACGTTGCGTGGTAAAACACGCTGACATCGGCGTCACCGGGAGGCCACGTGGATAACCTGCGTGTCTGACGATCCCGATCACATCCCGCGCGGACGGATGACCCAGATCGATATGGGATGAGTATTTAAACATTGCGTCTCAGGGAACCTTAACCTTAGGCACACCTGCCGTTGCTGGAGAAGAAGAACTAGACACAGAAAAAGGAGACCAACCCCCGGCTGGAAAGGTAAAATTTTCTTCTTCTCGCTCAGAATTCGATTTCGAGTCTTCTTGTGGCCATATCGAAGCAAAAAGGATGGCGAATGAGCCAAAAACTGCGAACAAAGTCTGATGGAGCCGCCGTGGCCAAAACCCTAAAACCCCTCCAATGAGGCCCTTTCCGTTTTTCATTTCACACAATTCTTTAACCATTGTGTTTACCGTCCTTTTCTGTGCAAGTTAGCCGAAGGAGAAATCCCAACCGCGAAGGAGAACCGGCAGAGTCACCGCACCCAGAGACCCTTCCCACTAGTAAGTTTGAATTTTTAATTTTTCTACACAACCGAGACTTCCTAACGTGTTTCTTGGTAGGTGTAAATATAAAATCGACTAAAATCAGCTAAAATCAGTCAGACCAAGGTGAACCGTCACCCTGGTGGCATATTCGGGGCCGGAGCATGGCAGTAGCGCCGTGCCGGAACCCTAAAATTGGCTGGAAAGAATTTTCAACACCGATTTTGGATTTTGAAGGTATTTTTGGGTATGTGACAAGTATTTTAATTTTTGTAGAAAAAATTCAGAAAATTCAAGGCTCGTCAAGAGGCATTGTGGGTAGTATAACATTTCGAAATACTGATTTAAGTAAATATCTCTTACCATATTCTCCGTTACGGTAAACTAAGACTTAATAATCAATAATTTCTTATTTTGTAAAAATTAAAAAATTCTTAACAATAATTACATGTCACTAATGGAGACGAAACTAGTCAGTGTACGATTGTCCTATTTTATTGTTCATTTTCTCATATATTGTTTAAGATGTTTACTATTGCATTGTGTGCATTAAATTGCTAGTTTAAATTGTGTTTTCAGTTATTTGATTTATTTGGGTTCTCCTGTACTGATTATTTGGTTATTTAGTTACTTGGTTATTTGGTTATATAAATTATATCGCTTGCTTAGATGTCGTTTAAACTGAAATGTGAATGTGTAATATGCGATTGGTGATTGTTTGGACAATGAGAATCTATGTATGCGAAAGCTTATTGGGTATCTTGTGAAAGAGTGGACGGATTCGGTACATAAGGAACCCTACTATAAACATTATCTCAATTGGACAAGGTCGAGAAGTTCTTTACTGGAAGAGTTTGGAAAGATGGTTCACCTCATACCTGACGGGGCATCGAGGGGATGGTATGTTAGCGTCCATTACTGGATGTGATATTGGGACGGCTGGATTAATTGTTAAATCGAGATACTAGGTTCAGAATAGAATGATATCCCTGTAGACTCCCTAGGAGTCCTAGTAATTAGGTTAAAAATGAAAAATTACTGATCTTATACACGAAATTAAAATATCATTTGATTACTTGTTTTCATAGGTTGACTTTAGAAAAATTTATAATGGTAAGTATGAAATAAAACGTTTTAAAGTTAAATGTATTTATTTAAATCAAGGGCTCTATTAGTTATTTTATAATTTTTACCAACACTCGATTTTTCGTATCAGTAATTAGTATGATATTCTTATTAAGTTAGTATAACTCACTATTTTATTAATTATTTCAGATCAAGAAGACCAAGATCCAGATCCCGATCAGTAAGAGAATTGTGAGTAGATCACCTCCCGAACTCTCCTTCAAGTGCTAGTAGAGGTTAATCTCTCAAGATATTTATTTATTTGTTTTGATTATTGTTTGTCTTTCTTTATGAACTAATGTAGAAGAGACATTCTCTTAATTTTATTAAACATTCTAATTTACTGTGTAAGAAATGTAAACTTTAATTTTATTATTCGCTTCTACATTTAAGTAATAAACTTTTTTTTTTAGTTTCGAACTTTTACAATCATAACCAATGAGTTTAATATAATCAATTAATAAAATTATTTTGTTATATTATTAATCAATGTGATAATTATTTGATAGTTTTTTTTTCTAGAAATTGAGCATAATAAATTGTATAAATTAACATAAAGATATTTCTAATTTGAATCATCATAATAATGCTATATCTACATAAAATCTGATTTAATAAATGAGTTTTTTAAATTCAATGAGTGAGGAAGAAATTTTCTCTCCAAAATTTGCCAACCCCATGAGCTTAGAGGATTATAAGACTTGATGGAAAAAGGAACTTTCTCTATTAGGAGTTTTTTTGGAAGTAAGATTCCACTATGTAAATTAAATTTAAACTTAGTTCTGGATTAATGTTTAATGGGCGATTTAAGAAAGAATGATCTCACCAATAGTTCGATATAAATTAGGTGTCAGCATAAACCATATAACCTAAATGTTAGATAGTCAAAATTTAAGTTAACCAAGATGAAAATAATGTTAGATACTTATGTCCTAGTATATTTTTAAAATTAATTATTTTAATTTAAATATAAACTTTATTACTTCCAGTACTGGTTGTATTTTTATTACATTATTGCTATATGAATTTTTTATTTTTAATTTAGTTTATGTAAGAACAAGAAAGATGTATGATCAATACAAACAAAATCCTAACCTTGTTATCGGATTTCAATGTAAATGTGCCGGCCTAATAAATATTTGTGTATCAAATATCTCACTGTTTGTTGAATATTTCAAAAATTTACTAGTTGAACGTGAAAATATTTTTTTTTAATTTTTTATTTCATATATTTATTTATTTATTTTTTATTAGAAAATTTGTGTAACTTTGTTGTAAATAAATAGAACAATAATAAAATTAATAAATTTTTCAACTTTCTTGTGGGTATTCTTAAAATTTAGTTTCATTACTCTACACGTACAGTTTTGATATGCATATGTATGATAATTCTCTCACCTACGCTGGAGCACAGCAACAAGAAATCAGAGAGCCCAGGAACCCCCACCCCAGTTCATATTTTCACCTTCCATCTTCCTTATATCACTATATTCAAACCCTATACTAAACGGCCAATCAGAACTCTCTTGACCCCATGCCCAAATGCTCTCTTCACCATTCCCTGCTCCTTACCACCTCAATTTGCAAACGTCTCTCTGCAATCCCAAGTAAGCTTTCTTTTTCTTTCCCCTTCTCGTTTAATCAAACCCATCAAACAAAATCA